CAACAAACTGAATTTAGACACTCACCAGAATGTCTGGAACAAACTAGAAGGTCTCTTGGGAGCTGGAGAAAGTTACATGAGGACGTCTCACCTCTGATATCCAAGCCCTTCGTCTCCTTTTTGTTTGGTCCCTCGCGTTATTTCAGGCGAGAAAACAATGAAATGAAAGTCCATTTTCAATCTTTTTCTTTCCGGTTGTGTAACTGGACATTACATCCAATAACGCAACAAGTTTGAACCATTGCTAAATGGTTTCAACCTACTTAGATTTTAAAAAAATTCAGTGAGTAAGCTTTATTTTCGACAGTTATGATTAAGGACAGTATAGATGGTGATTTTATCCCATCGGCCTCCGCGCCACAGACACAGTGACGTCACGTTCTAAAGCTCTATATCAGTCCTCCCAAAGCATCCACCTCAATCAAATTATAGGTGAAGGAAAATTTGTGGACTCTGTTTAAAAGCCAGGACACTAAGCAACTTAAATGAACCTGTCTGCCAAGAGAAAGGGTCAAATATGAGTCAGATTCCAGTTGGCAGTTCCAGGGTTCTGCTTTATGGACTATTGAAGAAGACATCGGCAGCAGTTTCGGCCATGGCAAAGCTTCTGAGTCAGTGTGAAGGTTGGATCCGTGCCGTGAGTTCTCATAATCAGCTGATTTACGAGCTAAACCGTAAGGTGGAGGCGATTTATGAGAATCGCAGGCCACTTGCGGCTTCTGGGGCTCGTTAGCGCGGTGGGATCGACCATGAAGGAGACTCTTAACATGAATTAGTGGAATGGATTCCCACAATTAGGCCATTTTGGAACCAGAATGTCCAGATGGACTCAAGGCTGAAGAAAAAATCTGTCTGCCTGAAGAAAATCAATAATGAAAGCTTATCTGAATCTGACTCCCGACGGCCTCGGAATGGGCCGACTATCAAATTTCTCCTGGGTCATGGGTAACCAAGGACAAAAGCTTCATCTATCGCACCCCCCTGGAGAACTTTCTGTGCAGGCTTATCAGAACTGTTGGTTGAAAACAACATCTTCAGAAACTGTGGCTGATCTGAAAAGAGCTCATAGACTAATCTCAACACCTCGAGGTCAAATGCAAATGTAATCATGTTTTATTTGTGCTGCTGGTAGAGTTTATTTGACGTCTCAAATTGTGTCCTGATAGACAAGATGTGAAAGATCTGTTTTTGTAACGCCACCATCTAACCTCATGTTTCTCCCCTTTTCCTATCTAAGATTATTAATCTGATAAGGATAAGAGAGGCCGCGCTTAGAGCAGCAGCTTCGTGCACTCCGTCCATCTTCCAGACGACTGCATGTACATGTTCTCGTTGTATCTCGGTGCAATGATAATAAAGCTTATTCTGATTCTGAAATGCTTATGTGCCAAAAACAGGAATATGTCGACTAAATTATTTTTGCAGAAGCAAGTTCTGTTGCTACACGTGTCGGATGAAATGAAACTAATCAAGGCAGAAGATCTGTCAGACGTCAGGTTTAACTCTCACCTCTTCTCTGAAGTGGCTGAAGTCAGCAAAGTTTGACTGCTGCACTTTGTTCTGGCAGGATTTGTCTGAAGTGTTGAGAAAATGAGCAACCTGACCAAACAGACAAGAAGTTCTGATTAGCCAGAGGTTTTCTTCTTCTGTTTCACAAGTGGAGTTCAGATGAACAACAGCTTTTTCTTTGACATCGAAGCAGATTAGAAATCAAGATTTACCTGGGAGGTTGACGGTCTAGGAGGCAGGGCTGGTGGTGGCAGCAGCCAGACACTTTTCACTCCTAAAAATCAAGAAAATAAAAGTTCTTCCACTTCAAATGTTCTGTCTGTGTTTGCCTTAATGCTGATGAGAGTCATCCTCAACAAACTACCGTGTGTGTCAAACTCAAGGCCTGCGGGCCACACCTGGTCCATGCTATCTGGCTCTCAAGCATGAAATACTAAATGTAAAATATTTTGATGCTTCTCATTTTGCTCACACAAACTGAGCATACTTGATTTAGTGCAGACATCTCAGGACAGTTTGGTAACTTGGAAGCCAGAACAAAGGCAGGATTTTCATTAATCTTTGATTTTGACGTGGAAAGGGATAAAAGAACATCAAATGAGTTCCATCAAACTCTTGTATTGATGGAACCAGGAAAAGATGTTTGGTATAAGGTAGAGCTGTCGTTTCTAACTCGAACCCGAAACCCGGCCCGGACTGACCTGGATTAGGGCCAATCTGGGCCGTTATAATGTGATGAATGTGCGGGCCAGGCCGGTCTCGGGCTTTGATGCGGTTTTATGAATTATACAGCACAAAGAAAACTAAATAAGAATGTACAATATAAAATTGTGTTATTCTGCTGGTAGAGGAGGAGGCAGTAAGTTTATATGTTGAGAGGATGAAGAAAGAAAGAAGAGTGCAGCAGTTAATTAGACTGTGAAGAGATTGCTACCACTGGTGCATTGCACAAAAATTGCGCACGTGGGCTAAGGCTTCTGCGGTTTTACGAATCATAGCACAAAGAAAACTAAATAAGAATGCACAATATATAATTGTGTTAATCTACTTGTTGAGGAGGAGGCAGGTCCATCCGGCTGGTTTACAGAGGTTTAAAAAAGTTGCGTTAAGCTCAGATGGACACCTGTCACCGGCCACGTGCGCCCGCTGACTCGCTGGTTGAAATGGACTTGCGACCTGTCCAGGCTGTACCCCACCTTTTGCACAGTGATGGCTGGACATGGGCACCAGCGAACCCCACTACCCAAAAAGGAAGAAGCGGGTAAAGAAGATGGATGGATCAGCTGATCACTGGCTGCACTGTCTCTGCACCTGCTGCCATCTTTGAATGGCGCCGCTCTGAGTGGCTGCATGTTGGAGCAGCTCTCTTACATTCATTCTGAGTTATTGCTTTTGAAAACTTTAATTCCTCTTTTTTTCTGGATGTAAATTGCTTTTTTCTGATGATTATTTACTCTTGGTGTCAGATTCTGTGCAGCTGGACGGATTTTTACTGAAGCCTTTTTACTTTTGAGCATTTGTTATGATGCGTAACCATGGCAACAAGGTGTTTTTTTAAGCTCGAGGAGCAGCTGATTAACATCTCAAAAGCTCAATAATACCTCAACTACAGCCCCAAATCTCAAATGAGTTGAAAAGGAGGTGCCGTGGACAAATTCCCGTCAACCTGGCGGCTGTACTCGAGTACCTGACCGCCGAGCTCCTGGAGCTGGTGGGAAACTCAGCTTGTGATAATGGGAGAACTGGGATTGTCCCCTGGCACGTACAGCTGTCTGTCCATTGTGACAAGGAGCTCGGCAGACAGCTGGGAGTAGGGCCCATCGCTCAGAGAGGAATTCTGCCTGGAGTTCAGGCAGTCCTGCTGCCCAGGAGGACCGAGAGGCCCACCAGATCTGACAGCAAGCTGGATCTGGGTGGACGGATCGGTATCTGTGGCCAGATTCTTCAGATTCACTGCAGGACATCCTTCCTGCCCACAGCTATCAGCATCTATAACAACTCTTGAAAGAAACCAGGATGATGAGCTACGACAACACTTAATTTCTCTTTGGGATTAATAAAGTATTTATGAATTGAATTGAATCTGCGGTGAAGGAAGTAGTAGAATCTACAAAAGCCGAAGTGAGCAGCGTATTCAATTAAAACAGCTTTGTTCTATATTTTTCCAAACGTTTTTGTTCTAAAAACATTTTTGTTCATCTGTATAATAGCCTCTCTTTAGAGTTGATTTTTTAGGCTATTAGTTTTGTATGTTAATATCCACTTGGTGACTTGTTAATAAACAGAAATCTTATATCTTCCTTTCGTTACGTTTTTAAAACTATCATGTCTAACTGATTTACTTACAAAAGCAGTAAAAGCTTAATTAAAGCAAAAAGTTTTTTTTTTTCTGGGTTTGGTCCTCTAATCTCTAATTACTGTTAATCTGCTGGGTCCGGGTAGGGCTCTGGAAAACAAACTACGTGCTCGGTCTGGGCCAGGCCGGATTTATTAGGCCCCAATGCAACTCTAGTATAAGGTACCAAGTTATTTATTTTGGCCCCTGAGTTTGCAGTGCTGCACATCTCACAAGCTCCCACAAAACATTTAAAAGGTTGATCAAAACAGCCAAGTGTCCGCTCATCATGAGAAGATCTTAGCCTCAGCATGAAAGGCAGCAGATAATATGCATTACTTTACAAACTGCTAGGTCTTTAATGCAAAACAAGTGCAAGACACAGATTTTCAGAAGCAGAACCTGTCTTGGAGGCCTCTTATGTTTTGTAATGATCAATACAACAACACGGGTCTCTACTTCTTCTATGGTCACAAAGGAAACCATAGCTTCAGCTCCTCCTCTGTTGTTTGAACTAATATCGTGGGGCGAGTCAGACCCAGTCCCAGGTGTGGATCGTACCTGGAGAACCTTGCTGGAGGAGTTTGTTGAGGTCCAGCGATGAAGCCCTGGAGTGGGTTTTCTGTGGGCGAGGAGGCGGGGTGGGGGGCTCCTCTGCCTTCTTCATGGCGTCTTTGATAGACGTGCTGGAGTAAGACCTGAAGAACAAATATAATGCTGCTTAACGTGCTGTTAGGAGAGCACGATATTCTGTTTCTGTTCAAACAAAGGCCTCCGTTGGTCACCTCGGTCTAGTTTTCATCTTCATCTGTGAGTCTGCGTCGTGAGGCAGATCTGCAGAAAAACAAAACCTTGAACGAAAAGTGTCCGGCTACAGAGGGGTTAAACATGAGAAACAACCACTTCCCTGTAGTTGGGATTTTATTTGGGTTGGACAGCTCAATTAACACAACACATTAATATCACTTGTTATTTTTCTAACAACAAGCCCCAAGCATTAAATCCATCCATCCATCATCTTTTACTCTCTTCTTCCATTTTGGGTCATGGGGGTCGTTGGTGCCCATGTCCAGCAATCACTGTGCGAGGGGCGGGGGACACCCTGGACAGGTCTCCAGTCCATCACGGGGACACATAGAGACAAACAACCATTCACTCTCTCTCTCACCTAGGGACAGTTTAGAGTTACCAATCAGCCTAACATGCATGTTTTTGGTCTGCGGGAGGAAACTGGAGTCCAAGCATTAAATGTGCTTGTAAAATAAAAACAATGCTAAACAACTTTATTTAACAAATTATTTTCTATGTAAAAAGCAAAGTGTTTCAGTCTAGAGTCTGAACCTGCACATGTGAGCAGGAACAGACAGCTCTTGGTGTTTCCCACAAAACAAAAGGAGTTTCATTTTCACCTGGCCTCTGGGGAAACACGCCCAGCTGCAGAGTGTTTGGAGACGAGGCCAAGCTTAAATCTGCGTGCACACACGCGCACACACACGTGCGCACACACACACGTGCGCACACACACACGTGCACACACACACACAAAGCCCTGGTCGAGTCAAGAACACGACGACGGGATGATGCACAGATTCGTTTTGATTCAGCGCTATAAAAACTGGCCCCTCCTCTCTTGTTGCTTCCATTGATGTTTTTTAGACATTCACACCTTCCATCTTGAAATATGAAAAATGTACATTGTATAAGTGTGTGCACAAACTTTACTGGTTAGTGACTTTAGGAGAAGAAACCCTTTTCAAACATCCTTGGAGATCATAGTTCAGCCACATGTTGGACTGATCGTAAGAAGCTTGTTTTAGCCAGATTATTTACCTTCTTTAATGGACTGTTCATGCAGGTGTTTGCTTGCGCTTGAGCTCAGCTGGAGCCGCTCTGCAAAGCTTCGCTCCTGAACAAAATCACATTGCAGACCATTAAAAGTGGAAGCGTTTCAGGAAGTCAACAACCTAATGGGACCCCAGTTCAGGACTGTTTCATAGTCAGCTCGTGAGCGCCCTCTGCAGGCATCACTTCACATCAACTGTTTGTCTCACCATCTGACAAGGCCTTGGCTCTGTATCCTTAAAAACGATCAAAGGCTCCGCGCTCTGCTGGAAAAGCAGTTAGAAGAGCTGCATCAGGACTTCAGTACAACTTGATTTAAACCAACATGGTCACAGGTGTGTCTGTCTTACGTTGGGAGTGTACGGTATCTCCTCTTCGTGCTGCATGAAGCCCGGCTGCAGCGTTGGAGGAAGGCTGTCAGGGAGAGGGTAGCCATTTTTGCGTGCCACGATCAAGTGAAAAGCGATGCAGAACTCGGTGAACGTCAGCGCGCCGTCTCTATCCACATCACTCAACTCCCTTGATAAAAGTGAATCACGAGTTAAACTTAAAGATGAAAGTAAAGCGTGGTGCTGCTCAGACTAGCTGTTAGCTCATGAGTCAGGTGAAGAGCGAACAGAGACGGGTTTGGTTTTTCAGCTGTTTGACATTTTCTTCCAAAAATAGTTGGTTATAGCTTCATATTGAAAATTCAAACATCAGTTCTATCATTTTTTTCCTTAAGGATAAACTCATGAAAACAGGAAAGCGCAGAGTTTCATATAAATCGACACGAAAATTGTGTTGTGTTTAAAATCTGAGTTGTGAGTTGTAAATGTTTCTGTGGCTTAAAGACTGAAACGAAAAAAGTAAAACATACAAAATGTTTGTACTCTGTCTTTAATGTTAATAAAGACAAAATTATAATAAAATTAATTGCTGTCGTGGACTTTATGTGACCTGAATTAAAGATATCCTGATTCATGCCAATAATCCAGGTAGAAAAATGTAAAAAAGTTCAATCTGGTCCTCTGGACATTCAACAAAACAAGTGAATTAAGGAAACTTTTAGTACTAAGCTACGCTAACAAGCTGTAAGCTAAAAATGTGAACATTAGCTTCACATTTAGCTTACAGACATAAATGTCTCTTGTTAAGACTAAAACAAACAAAAAGATAAATGATGTTTATCAGAATTCAAAGTTTCAAGTTTATACATTTAAAATAATAATCTATATTCTATGGTTTCAAATAATTTAATCCAAATCCCTCTGTCTGTAGAGAAGATCACACACCATGTACTTGGTCAGTTTTGCAGCTCCTGTCAGCCTTTAATCTTAACACCCCCCCCCCCCCCCAACTGAACCCGTAGCAAACGAGGGAGAGAGGAGTCAGCACTGACCAAATGTGGGACAGCTCTGGGATCGGGAGCTTGGATTTAGTGAAGAAGTTTTTCACCACAGCTCCTAAAAAGAACACCAACAGTGATGGAAGAGTTTGTGTGATCTTCAGTGATAAACATGTGCTGGGGGTGTCCATACCCGGGATCAGGGCCCCCAGGTCTGACTGCAGGCTTTTGAATTGGTTTGTGTAATACTCCAGCTGTTCGGCTGTGATCCTCCAGGGGTCACCGTCACAATAACCCAGTGCACTCTGTTGGCTGAGCCTCTCTACTGCCGGAGCCTGAGCAGACACAGAAACATGTGGAATGAGGCAAATGGCAGCTTCTTTATCAGCTGATTGAATTACTTCACATGAGCACATGCACCTGAAGCACGGTGGGATTGGTCATGTATCGGCTGGGAGAGAAGTGCTGCTCCAGCTGAATGTCTGCTCGTGGAGAATATGCGCCTTCATATGCTTCAAAGTAGCAAATAAATCATCCTGTCAGAGGACTAAACTGCTGCTACACATGTACAAACTGTAATCTGAGGAAACAAGAGATTTACAGCCAGAAGAAGAGAAAGCTGTGCATGTAGAAGTGAGCATGAGCCAAAGATGGAGCCAGTGACCGCGAGCTCCAACAAGTTCAATCCAGAATGAATGAAAAGTGCCGTACTGGTCTGTGGCTCAACTCCATTCCTCTGCTTGGTGTGCAGATAGCTGCGGGGGGTGTGCGGGGAGTGAGGGGGTGAGCTACACGGCGATCGAGGCGGGGACCATGGTTCCTGTCAGCACAGACAGACACATGCTTATTTTTACACACACTGCAGAACAGTGTGCAGCCTCTACGCATACACTTAAAAGTTCCTCTGGCAGAGTTTCCCAATAGACATAAATGAATAATTGGAAAGATAAAGTCAGTAAGGGTTTGCATTATTTCACGCCGTTGAGATGAACAGTTGTTGACATGTATCCACGTGTGCAATAACAGGAAGTGATGTCAAAGCAGAACACCTGCATGTCAACTGGGCGTTGCTGCAACGGCTAATGACACAGACAGCAGAGAAGAAGCTGATGTTTCTTTACTTTATTTGAACTTCAGAGAGAGAGAGATACTTGTCACATGCACCTAAAGAGTTAAGCTTACACTGTATTCAAGTGTGCATGTTAGCAGTGACATGTTGTAGAGATGAGTGAATCAGTCCAGTAATCAATGTTACTGATAGTAATGCTGGTTCAGTATCGGATCAATAACAAGTGTGACAGAACTGATACCGTTCGGTTCTCTATTATATTCAATACTTTGATCCCGTTTTGGAAGAGTAACGAGAGGAAAACACGTTTTGTTTTCTGTTTCTGAAAAAAAGAAAGAATGAAACTTCTAAAACGACCATTCTCCATTTTGTACTGACAATTTAGAAACAATTTCAGTTTCATTTCATTCAACCTTTGTTTGTTAATACAAATAACCAGCTCATTAACAATGAAAAGCAAAAACAAGTCATGAGAATATTTTTAAACATTTAACTTATTAATAAAACTACTCTTTCCTTCAAGGACGTGTGCATGCTGTCCTTAGGTTCACAGTACTGGACCGTTTGTCCAATAACAGCTCAGAGGCAGAAACTGAGACCAAACAATGTTCACATCATGTTTTATAGAACGCTGTGTTTAATTAGACTCCACCTTTTTGTCTGCGTTAGTCTCCAGGTGTCTGAAGGTGAACCTGTCTGCTGGAGTCCACACGGCAGAACCAGGGCCCGACCCACACAGAGCCCCCGGGCCATCTGTGCCTGCAGGAGCTGCTGCATATCGCATCTCTGGCTCGCTCTTGAGTCCAGCGAATCTGGGCAGAGGTAGACCTAAAAGAATATAATCAGGGTACCTTTAGGTCCAGTATGACAGACGACCTTTCTTGAAACCAATAAACATGGCAGCAGGTATTTAAAGAAGCTTTCGTTTTGTAAAGGTCTGCATTGACAATAAAAGTAGGACTAGGAGAATTAATGGGTGTGAGCATCTTTAACCTCTGAACACTTTCAATCATAACCAGCTCCATCAGAGGTGTTACGGGGAAAACGGGTTTCTTTGGTGGGGGCGTGACTAATTGTGCCCTTTTTTAAAAACTGGGCCAATCCATGAAGCTGTTCCCAGCACAACTCCCTTTTCATGCAGATCGGGCGAAATCCTGCCACGCTAAAATAATCTCCTGATCCCGTTTGGCTCTCATAAAACACCTTCGCTCTGAGCAGCACACTTACTGGCGGTTACGCTCTCCAGGCGAACAGGCAGACCAGCCTGCGTGGCTGCGAGCAGCTTCAGGGCAAGGTAGAACTGAGGGGTGTCAAAGTAACCCAAATGCTTGGCTCCACACGCCTCAGTCACCTGAGAAGAACACAAGCAAGATAAAAAAGAGTTGAGAACCAAGGTCAAGTGTGATTTATCCAACATCACAGAGTCAACATCTTGACCCTGAAGCCAATATCTAACTGGGCTGCAACTGTTGGTCTCATATGGCATTTAGCAATGGTGTCCCCAAAATATCCCACAAACAATTTTTCAAGCAATCTTTTTATTTGTCATTTCTAAAAGTAGCCTTGTAAAAACAGCCGTTTGTACAAACCTCTTCACATGCAGTCACTGAAAAATGTCCCAAAACAGAACAAAAACTGTAGTAACTATACTGACGCTGCAACGCTGCCACATGAAAAACTGGACACAAGGTGTAGAGTATGTGCAAAGATGGGTGCAAAATGCAAACACAAGAAGAAGAGGACATCTTCAAGTTCTATGTTGGATTAAAGCTGGGATTATGACGTTGTTTTTAAAAAGTTCCGTTTTGTCCATTCACACAAAAACATAAGGATGTCATTTCAAGTGTTTTTGTTTTTACTTTGGAACCTGTTTTCATAAAAACACGTTGTGGGGTTCCTAAAGTCTGGTTTCTTTGTGGATACAACGCTGAAACAAGAAAAAACTTTGTGCATTCACAAAAAACATTCTCATGTGATTTGTCCCTTGAAAAAGTCTGTGAAGGTTCTTTAGTTCCTCATGAGACGCAGGGCCTCGCTCTCATACTGATGAATTTTTGAACTAACGAACATCCATCCATCCATCCATCCATCCATCCATCCATCCATCCATCCATCCATCTATCATTCCATCCATCTATCCATCCATCCATCCATCCATCCATCCATCTATGTATCCATCCATCTATCCATCCATCCATCTATCCATCCATCCATCCATCTATCCATCCATCCATCCATCCATCCATGCATCTATCCATCCATCCATCCATCCATCCATCTATCTATCCATCCATCCATCTATCCATCCATCCATCCATCCATCCATCTCTTCCGTTGCAGATTGTGAGGGTCACTGGTGTCCATATCCAGCAGACACTGTGTGAGAGGCGGGATACCTTGGACAGGTTGCAAGTCCTTCGCAGGGGCACAAAGAGACAAATGAATTGTGCTAGAAAAGATTTGCTGAACAAATTTACTCTGAAAATAGTGACATAGTCATCATGGCAGCTTGAACTCTTTTTAATAAGATGGCACTAGTGTGTGTGGCTTGCTGTCTCTTGTTGTTTGTGTTCGTGCTGTTTTTGTTTTTATCACCAGTGCCAGTTCACTGCTTGTGTATGATCACCATGATTTCGTCTCTCTTCCAAGGATTTAGTGAACATTGACTCTGAATGTGGTGTTCATACAACGTTTCAGCCGTTTTCCTTCCCCGGTCGGACACCTGTCCACCTCTGCCACACCCACACTCCACTCCCTCGGCGTAAATGCAGCGGCCAACTGTTAAGGTTTAAGACTTTCTTGGCACAATTTCCCGTGGCCTCCTGGAGGAGAAATGGAGCGGTACCTGGTCTCTTTCTGAGCCCGCGGTCGCTGGACCCTGCTGACAGCTGGCTGGTGTGTGTCGTTGGTTCGGATGATGTGGTCCGCCCCCGCGGCCCCTGCTCTCCCCGTCCTCGTCGGCGTGGTGTGGATCCCTGCCATCTACGAGCCCTGCGTCGGGCTCCACAGACAGCTGCAGCTTGGGATGCACCGGCCCCTGCCAGGTTTGGCCTTGTTAATGCAAGATCACTGTCAAATAAAACTTTCATCTTGAGGGATTTATTCATGTCCCGTGATCTGGATTTTCTCTGCGTGACGGAGACGTGTCTGAGAAACGGTGAGCCCACCGCTCTTATTGAACTGTCACCACCGGATTGCTACTATTTGAATTTCCCACGCCTGTCGGGTCAAAAAGGAGGAGGAATAACAGTAACTTTTAAAAACGATTTTAAATGCCAGCAGATTTGCCTGCAATCCTCTTACAAGTTTTGAACACTGCTCACTGAAATCGGACGCTCCCATGTAGTCTTGTGCGTCATCATCTATCGGTCACCCAAGCACAATAAGGATTTTATTAATGACTTTTCAGAATTTTTGGCCGACATCCTGCCTAAATATGATCGTGTTCTCATTCTTGGTGATTGTAATATTCACGTCTGCTGCCCAGAAGAGCTGATCTCCAGGAGCTTTTGAAATGTTATTGACTCTTAACTTTTTGCAGTCTGTGTCTGCTCACACTATCAGAAGACTGTAAAAGCTGAGAAGAACAAATATCTCTCAGGCATAATTTCTTCTAACTGTAACAACCCCAGTGTTCTGTTCAAAACCATAGATACTGTTCCCCATGCTCCCAAGTCTGATGGTTTTGATGCCTCCAATGACGTCTGTGAAAGTTTTCTCCACTTCTTCACTGATAAAATTGTGTCAACCAGAGCTTGTATTTCTCAGCCTTCCTATGATCCCTCTATTTCTTTACACTACTCATTTATTTTTGATCAGTTTGAGCCTGTGTCCTTCTCTTTTCTAGAGGACACGGTCATATGAGGCTCTCTGGTTCCACTGCAGATTCCATCCCACCTCGTTTGTTTAAGGAAGTATAGAGCTTTAGAGCGTGACGTCACTTGTCCGCGGCACGGCGGCTGATGGGATAGGATGGGGCCGGATCCACCATTTTTATAGTCCTCCATATTAACTGTCGAAAACAAGCGTTCTCGCTGACTTTTTTTTTTAAATCTAAGTAGGTTAAAACAGTTTAGCGATGGTCCGAAATTGCTGCATTAATGGATGTAATGTCCGGTCACACGACTGGAATTGTAAAAAGATTGAAAACTGACTTTTTTAATAGATTCTCCACCAGGAAACAACACGAGGAGCTCATGTGTCGGACGTAACAAAAAGGAGACGTGAGACGTCCTCATGTAACTTTCTCCAGCTCCCAAGAGACCTGCTAGTTTGTTCCAGACATTCTGGTGAGTGTCTAAATTCAGTTTGTTG